AATATTTTTAACACAGAAGACGAGATTGATAGCCTGTAAGAATTTACATCCTTTTTTGGAAAGGCAATTAAAACAGAGTTAACCCAGTATTAAGCACAGTTAAGTTTCTAAATATTCATTTTCTTAAGTTCTCTAGTATTTTATCTATGATTAGCATCAAATGCCAAATTCAAAATGTGTTGTTCGCATTCAAATTCCGGATTTAAAGATTTCCGGAAGTACGTCACGTTTGGAATCTTGAATTAAAAAATAATTTTAATAATAAATAAACGGTAAAGGCATTTTTCTGGACGAATGCATGGAATAAATTCTGTAAACGATTAAAGAAGTACAGAAAAACGAAGATTAGAATTCGGAAAACTTTATTAAATCTTTATTACATTTATAGTGCGGGAAAGAGAAATTTAGTGTTCTTTGAATTGAATGACCACATCGGTGTAGGTCATGTTATGAGTGATGAAATCGGCGATGGTGCGAGATTTGATAGTACGGTCGAAGGGGAAGCCCATGGGTTTCTTGTCGGGGTATTTGTCGTCTTTAGCACCGCAATAGCTGACTGCATCTGAACAGATTGCATGATTGTTCAAGCCTCCCACCTACGAAGATTGAGAAGGTTAATGGATATCAATGGATGCAGTTGATAGAGTTTGATAAAAATTTACTACTCACGTTATCAAGTTCGTAGTCAGTTAGGATTACAATCAATTGGAAGTCCATGCCCTTGTGGTTTCCTCGAGGAATTAACATATGTTGAGGCCATCCACAACTGCAGAACTCAGTACTGTCTTCGGATATGCCTTCTCCCTTCTTTAGTTCTTCTACTGTGGGAACGTGGGAAATAGTGACGCTGGATTCAGTTGACTTTCGCATGATGGTATTTTTTCCGGGTTGTACTATATATAGACAAAGGACATGTTAGATTGCTTTTCTTCCATAAAAATTTATCTTGTAGGCCTAATCGTTACTTACATTCGCTGTGGAACTTATCCAACTCGATGAAAAATCGGCGCTGTGTGTTCAGAGTCAGGCGGTTACCCAGTTCATCGTGTTTAGGGCCCAAGAAGATGCGGACAGTGGCATGTTTAATGTTTCCTGACTTATTCTCAACGTTGATAGTGTAAGAGAAGGGATCGTGATCCAAATGTTGATGTCGTACCTACGAATAAAAACATTAACAAATGATAAAAACGGATTTTTAGAAAATAGTCATTCTCATATACCTTGACAGATCCTTTTAAATTTATTCCGTAAGATAACTCCAACAAGTCCTCTTTGATAAATGTGTTGACGACGTTCGGAACCTTGGAGTTAACTGTGGCATTGACAACTTCCACGTCTGGGAAGCTCAACTGCAATAGAATCAGACGGTTAAACAAGTATAAAAAGACAAGGAAGCTGAATTTAGGAAACTGGTAACATACCTCGTCTTTGGTGTATGAAGGCAAAGTCTCTTTGTATTCCTGGAAAATATTGTCGATGAATCTATGCCACCTGTAGAAAATAGGATCCCGCAGAGAGGTGGAAGTGTCGCTCATTACGCCCGGATTCTCCTACGAAAATGAAAGAAGTTGGTTAATTTGGTGTTTCTCCAATTTCTTCAATCTGTTTAATGAAAATTACCTTGAATCTGCCGTCGGGATCGTGGAGCCGAGCCATCATGACGTGTCCCCAGTTGTGTAAACTTCCGTAGTAATCACGATTCTTAGATTCTTCGCTGGATTCCATTAAGTCTCCTAAAATATCGATTCCGTGTTGAGCATCCAGAGGGATTTCATTACCTTCATCGTCTATAATGGTTCCCAAATGAATAGAGTCGAGAATCCTGTCTCTCCAACGTTCCATATCTTGCACAGCTACTTCTTTGAGATCTCTCATAGCTAGTCCTGAAGGACGACTGGCATAATTCAAACCACTGATAAGGGAAGTCAAATGGGGTGAGTAGCCTTCTAGCTCTTCTTCGAAGTTGTGGAAAGGTGTCATTCTTCGCAGACCTACTGATAAACGATCGCAATCGTACCTGATGGGAAAAAAAGATCAGTAATCGTGGAAAAGAAAAGGGAGAAGACATAAGATAAACATGTCGACTTACCTAGCACACATCTGCTGATGCATGTAGAAGAAAAGTTCTCCCTTTCGGTCCTTGTATTTGCCCATGAGGTCCGCTCTCCAAGTAGCAGGGTAGACGCAATGCCAATGCCAATGGTGAGCATTGACCTCAACATCTTCACGGAAGTATGCAAGATTATATTCGGGATCTAAGATGTTGCCAGTCTCCTTGATGTCAATTTGAATTGTATCCTGCAAAATGACCGACAGATAAGATACAGGATAAGTTCGAAAGAGCAGCATTGACGGACACTTACTGCTCCGGGTCTGTTCAGATCGGCTTTAAGAGCTAGATTAATGGTCTCGGCAGGGATGAAGCGGTCGGGGAAGATTTCCTGGATGGGAGGAACAGTGACTCCGCGACAGTCGTCACGATGAAGAATGGCAACAGATGCGGCAAACACGAAGAGACCCTCATTGACGACATCTCTGGCTTGTTCACACAAGTGGATGAAATCATTGAAGTCCTTGGCGGCTATAGAAAAGAAGAAATTAGCTAAAAGAAAAAGACAGGAGAATGAACAAAAACTTAGACTTACCATATAGAGTCTCGTATAAGTACTGGGCTTCGGCCAAGTGTTCGGCATGGAAACAGGAGAACAGCTTTCCTCTTTCCAACTTTCCTACGGGTTTGAGGCGCGGGTCCCTTTCGTCTATACTCAACTTCTTTCTTGTCAAAGAAGTGAGATGCTCGAAAAGCGGAATAATTCGGTTCTGCTTCTCGCCGACGGTCATTCTGGAGAGTTGTCTGGACCTGAGCGCACACTAGCCGATCTCTGCGTGCCCGAAGCCCCGTGCCCGCTCTATATATGCGAGAGGAATGTATTCCGGGAAGTGTTTGTGGGACGAATATAGCGTCTTTGGGAGAGTTCGCTATATCGGGTGCATCCGGAGTTATTTCCGGATAAAAAACAATTCGTTGAATCTAAAGACTAATGTTGGCCGTCACCGGACAGACACTTGACAAATTACTTCGCTGTGTTTGATCAGAATTAGAGGGTAAAAAGAAAAATAATAGAAATACTACATGCGTTTAACGGAAATATCGGAAAGATAAAATCAACCATAAAAATATAACTAGAAAACGCTTAACCAATAAAAATTGTTGATTAGAAGATATAGATTAGATTAGAATAGAAGACAATTATAAAATCTTCATTTTCGCTTGAATAATTGTGCGCTAATTTTAATTGAAGTGTGTAGAATCTCCCTCCTAAACTTATTACTTTCTTAAACTCTTGTTACTTTATTATTACGGTCAGAAAAATAGTCATGAATCAAGTCGCATAAACTTCTAATAAAAGCGAAAGATATTTTAATTTTGTAATAAAAAAATTAAAGAAATGAATAAAAGACAGTGACAAATTTNTGAAAGGTTTTAATTAAAAACTGATAACTGCCATTTGTCAGATTAAGGAAAACAAATAAAAAATGGAAGAAATATTAATAAAATTTTAACATTTCTTTGCGAAATTATCGATGAATAAATTATTTGATTAATCACTTATCGACCTTGAACGTGTGCTGTCTTACACACATCCATATTCTTCGTTTAATAATTAAAAGAATAGTTGTGGTTAAAAAGATATCTGTGCACATTTATATCTTGTTAAGATATTTATAAATGTCAAACGATTCATTTTTCCACAAATTTTAATGTTTTTATCATTATTATCGCAAACTATTGTCTCATAAAAACATCAGTTATAAAATTAAAGCAGTTAAATTAAACATAATTACGAGTATTAACATTAAAAATAGATGAAACACGAGAAAATCTGTTAGCCATGGTTAGTAATTTTAGTATTGTTATTTATATTTAATTAGTAGTAGTTATAATTTTATGACTAATAAAATTAGTATTAACCAAGCCTTCTGGTTCCTCATCTACAGTCTTTAAATGAATATTTTTCTTTTTGAATTCGTTGCCAATCCTTTTAGCCATTTATTCTTTACAACATACTGTACAGTACATCCACCATACATTATTATAAATAAAATAATAAAAACTTACTTGGTGAAATACCAAATAAGTTATTATTATTTTATTTATTACTGTTAAATTTTAAGGGACAATATAGAAATTGACTGTTAACAAGCGTAAATAATTGTAATTTAGCTAATTGTTTTTGCCTAATTAAGTTTTGGCAATTAAAACAAAACTAAAACTATTGCATTATGTAAATTAATGTCTATATTGTCAGTCTGTTATTTTTAAATGTTAACTGTTAAGTCTATTTAATAGTTAAAATTCCACAATAACAGATTGATGAAAGGTTTTAATTAAAAACTAATAACTGCCATTTGTCAGATTAAGGAAAACAAATAAAAAATGGAAGAAATATTAATAAAATTTTAACATTTCTTTGCGAAATTATCGATGAATAAATTATTTGATTAATCACTTATCGACCTTGAACGTGTGCTGTCTTACACACATCCATATTCTTCGTTTAATAATTAAAAGAATAGTTGTGGTTAAAAAGATATCTGTGCACATTTATATCTTGTTAAGATATTTATAAATGTCAAACGATTCATTTTTCCACAAATTTTAATGTTTTTATCATTATTATCGCAAACTATTGTCTCATAAAAACATCAGTTATAAAATTAAAGCAGTTAAATTAAACATAATTACGAGTATTAACATTAAAAATAGATGAAACACGAGAAAATCTGTTAGCTATGGTTAGTAATTTTAGTATTTGTTATTTATATTTAATTAGTAGTAGTTATAATTTTATGACTAATAAAATTAGTATTAACCAAGCCTTCTGGTTCCTCATCTACAGTCTTTAAATGAATATTTTTCTTTTTGAATTCGTTGCCAGTCCTGTATTTTTAGCTATTTATTCTTTACAACATACTGTACATTAATAATCTTTCTGAACTTAATTCAACTTTGATAGCTTATAGTGCTGATATAAAATTAATATATAGATNAGTATTAACATTAAAAATAGATGAAACACGAGAAAATCTGTTAGCCATGGTTAGTAATTTTAGTATTGTTATTTATATTTAATTAGTAGTAGTTACAATTTTATGACTAATAAAATTAGTATTAACCAAGCCTTCTGGTTCCTCATCTACAGTCTTTAAATGAATATTTTTCTTTTTGAATTCGTTGCCAATCCTTTTAGCCATTTATTCTTTACAACATACTGTACAGTACATTAATAATCTTTATGAACTTAATTCAACTTTGATAGCTTATAGTGCTGATATAAAATTAATATATAGATAATTTAAATATAACTTTGCTTATTATACTTAAATTATTGTGATAAAGCTATCATGCTGAATATAAATATATGTTCAGCATGGCAGTATATCATATTTGTATATATATGTTGCAGTCAATACCCATTTTCAGTTAAAACTAGTTTATACTGGATGTCTTTGATAAAATACGTTTCTAAAACTAATTTTAGCTACATAAATATGTTTGGGGGAAATAAATAAAGTTATGTATAGTGTAAAGTTAGCCTATATATTCGGCGAAAGATGCCTAACATTTTGCTTATGAAGGAAATTATAGCGCTAATTTGGGTTTTGGAGTCCTCTAATGAAAATATCATATTCTGGAGTATGTTTTTCAAATAAAACTTTGTAGTTTATAAAAAAAAAATGTATATTGTGTTTGCAATGACGACTTTTTCACTGTCTGGCATTTTAGGCATCTCACCCCAAGTGTCTGGGTGAGATGCCAAATGCCATTAGGGTAAGATAACAAATATAATAGCATAAAATTAATTTTTGAATTTCTTAACCGAATTTAATTTATTGCATATGTAGTACAAAGTACTTCATAGCACGTATAAACAGCACAGTATAAGTATTGTTAAGTTTCCGCCCGTTCTAATGTGCTCTATAGCTAGCTGAAAACTTTTTTCAGTCCAAAAACCTTTTTGAGAAGTCCTTATATAATTTCTATGCATATCCTGCAATAAAACGAGAAAACAAAAATTTATTAAAAATAGGCATATTGGAATTCAATTAACAAAAAAATAGGCATGTTACCCCAAGAAAAATGTGGCATCTTTTTGGATTTTGTTGGGTTAAGATGCCTAGTAGAGTCACGTGCTCCAGCATGTCCGATCGGGATCGGCGGTAGCTGACAATGGAAACTTTAGAACCTTAACTACATCATACATTAATTGTTTTTCGCAATTTTTAATAAATTCTATTTTAACTTTTAGTTTAAAATTATTCTAGAAACATTTCACAACAAAAACTTCGTTCTTATCTAGCTTTTATTCTTCTCAGATGCAGAAAATAAAGTAACGGTAGTCAACTACAGCTTTCCGCACTCAATACAGTATTGGCCCAACGATTCATCATACAAATACATGACAATATGTGACGTCACCGTTTGAAAATATCAAAAATTAGGCATCTTACCCCGAATCACTCTATATGTTGCAGTCAAAACCAGTTTTTAGTTAGGATGCGTTTTAACTAGTTAAAACTAGTTTATACTGGATGTCTTTAATAAAACCCGTTTTGTCTAGTTAAAACTAGAATTTACTGCTAGTCAAAAATGAAATTGAGTTAAAACTAGTCTTAACTAGACAAAACTGATTTTAACAAAGACATCCAGTATAAACTAATTTCAACTTGTTAAAACGCGTTCTAACTAAAAACGGGTTTTGACTGTAACATATACAGTACATATATAAATTATTATGTTATACTCGTAATAATTTAATCTCAGACACTTAAATTCTCGATAATTATAACGACCACAGTGTATATTAATTACATATTTATTTGTTAATAAAAGAAGAACATGTTTTGATTTAAAAAAGATTTTTACGTTGTTACTTTTAAAGTTCCAGTAAGGTTTAAAGATACTTTCTACGATTGTCATTATCGATGACTCTATAAACTACTTCTTTTCTAATTAATAGATCTTTATACAATCGATAAACGAAAGTTTAAAATTCTAATAGAAATATTTTACTTTAAATTTTGGTCAGATTCTTTACCTATTCCTTTAAATACGAATTTATAAAATAAAATGAAAATTGAAATATATTTACTTAATAAAATTATACGAAAATTATTAAATTTTTTATTAATATTCTAAATGAAACAAAAGTGAAATAGCAGATCAAATAAGAACAGATTTGAGAAAGTATAAAAAATTAACAATGTAACACAATTAAAAATCAATTTGTATAGAAACATTATAATTTCAAAATGTAATTTAATCATCTGAAACATTGAACTTGAAACAAGATTTGAAAAAACTGCTGTTTCTAAATTGAAATATCTAAAAAATAATAAATTACTGTACAAAATGAAAATGGTTAAATAACTGTAATGCATAGATATGTTAATATGATGAATATCTTAAGACCATCGAAAATTTTTCTCTATAAAAAGCTAGGCAGAAGAAGCAAGAGGTTGTACCAAAATCAAGTTGATTGAAAACATGAAGTAGTCGCAGCTAGAACGATAATTTTCTAGCTTAATTCTTACAGAAATAAAGAAGTTGAAGATATATTTACGATATACTTGATGCATCGGAAAATCATCATTACCCTGTTCCACACTTTGTTGATTCAAGTTAAAGACATCCATTCTTTCTTATCACCTCACCATTCATATTCTTTGTCTTCCAATCCTTTGTGGATTGCCTATTCTTAATCCTTTTTTAATTTGGTCTCTCCAGTTCTTTCACCTCTGTCTATTGCTTTATATTGTCTTTTTCTATTTAGGTTTACTTAAAGAGTAAACTATTCACAAAAATTAAAATCATATTTATTCATTTTAAATCACTTTA